TCTTTATAAATGATTTGATAATACATATGAAAATAAGTATCATCATTTTCAAATTATTTAATGTCACAAAATTATATTTTAAGGTAAAGAAGTGCTTTATTTTTGTAAAAACCTTTTAATAAATAGTTACCACTCTGCAATATTTTTAGAAATAATTTATTATCAATTTTTAAAATATTTCAAACGAGATCACGGAATTTTGGTATATATGTTACGCGATTTCTTCTGTGAATATGAATTAATTTTACTGATTCTTAATTACTGGATAGCCCACATTTCCTGTGATCCCATTTAAATGTGAAGAAATATTCTATTTCTAACTCTAGATTCCAGTTTTTAAGCGGTTAAGTTATCGGTAAATACAAGCAAACAAAATAATAAGTATATATTTCCAGCAATACCGAACAAAGTATCTTTTTGAATATTTTACCAAGACTGAGTTGTAGGTTTCTGCAATATTTTAATAAAATTTTCCTAAAGAATAAAAGCCATGTTACCTTTATTAAATTTTATCCGAGTAATTTTTCCAGCCGCAATACAAATTTTAAGGTTTAGGCATTAGGTATTTTAGGAATAACCCTAAAAAGAAAAGAAAACATAAGTTGTTGTGTTGGTTGCCGGCCAAAATCCAGGCACACGTGTAAAAAAATATGAAATATGAGTCGGTGTTGAGTCGTCTAGGTAAAGTTGGTTTTTGGAACTTTTGATATTTACGAACTCTTTAATATTAAATACTTAAACATTTACTTAATACATAACACAACTTTTTGCTTTAATTGAGATAAATATTTTTTCCGGTTGTAAATGTATTTAAATAAAAAACTGTGATTATAACTGTTGCTGTTATCATAAGATTATATGTCTCTAATTCTTTTTTAACATCGATTGACTATTAGCACTTTTTGTTCTCAATAAGTGGGTAGCTAAAACTTCTCAGATGTTTAAAATCTCAGCTGGACTACCTACAGCAATATTTCTGCCAGAAATATCTCGTAAAGTATGTATGAGAGGACATTTCCCCGAGCTTTTCCGTAACCGCCCTATTGATTTTCCTCCCTACAACCACTAGACATCATTAAAACGCATGTGCATCCCTTGCTGCAACGTTGACCGTGGACGAGCTGACTCGTACCGCCAGCATCTCACCCTCCCAGACACGTTAATCGTTTTAGCACACACATGCATACGATCGAAACCATGAAGAACGTTGACGCGAGAGAGTAGCGTAGATGACGAAACGTTACAAAGGAAAGAGAGGAAATCGTCTCGCGCGTCAGTTGCAGAGCCGAATCATAATGAAATTAGCCGAGCTGCCTCGACGGCCATTGGATGTTACCCGGTTGCCATAGCAATCGATGACTCGGCGAGAGTATTTTTCGTAGCCATGTCGATGCCGACGTTTCCCGGCTCTACCATCGCGGTAGACAAATGTATTTTCACAGGCACACACTCTTACAAATACGGTACGAGCTTTTCGTGTTTTTGGCTGCATCAAAGTCAGACGTCGTTTTAAGGATGCAGACGTGGTTGTCGCCCTCTGAGAAACGACATTCCACCACCGTCGACCTAAATGAGCCCTGCATTTATCTGCACCGATATTTCATGGTTCACTTGTCCTTAGAATATTTATCAAATCATTAATATATCTACTCGACGAACCTATAAATTTCACTTTTTTTGGTTTCTTCGTTCTGATATTACATTTAGATAAAATAAAAATTGACCGTGTATAAATATGGTAAGAAATTCCTTTCTATCATCCCACTGATAGTTATTTACAACTGCTTCAATTGATGCGGACGTGACCTTTTTTTAAAAGAATTTGATTATTTTTATCACAGTTGTGTACATACTCCAGTTGCTATTACTATTATGTATATCGTTGCTTTTAAACATATGTTATTGTTGTTGCCATTTAGAATTATTTTACAGTAAAACAGAAACGTATGAAGTTATTGTTAATAATCAATTTAACGGTTCGTGGCTGATGCATATAAGTACATTTTCAATTATCTAAACTGTCCATAAACAACGATTCTTAAAAGGCATTCGGCTGTTACGTTGTCTTTTAGAATGTCGTAAATTTACAACAACTGCTTATTTAACTGAAACGCCTAAGTTCAATAACCACCTTAAGAGCTACTTCAACTAAAATAAAATTATCACTATTGTACAGCACTGTTGATAACGTAGAGGACAAATTACATATGGACCTACATAAACACATTTCCAATTTATAGACAGTAGGACGTTTAAGTTAATTATTAACAATTTCCATTTCAAATTCCTTATATTCCTGTGTTTTGTTTCGTAATACTTAATATAGAATTAAACAACTTAATAATTACAATCTCAATATGTGGTATTTACAAAAAGAAGCTTTACCTTTTGCTTCCAAAAATTGAAGCAATTTCCTCAAGGTATATGCCTTAAAAAAAAGCGAAGGAAAAGCTTTTGCTTCGAGGGTTTGCTTTAAAGTAAAAGGTTTTACATAATTTATACTAATAAAAAGAAGCATCTGCTCAAAAACTAAAGGATTTGTTTCTAAAAAAAGGAATCTAGGTTGACAACAATTTTTCTCGCTCTTTTCAACTTTTCAGTACCTGCCCAGGCATCACACAGCTTGTAACATAAAAATTGATATATTTGTAGGACTTTTTTGTGTTAAAATCTATTTAAAAGGACTTGTATAAGTAATTTTTAGTTGTGTGGTCCCAGTGTTATGTTTGTTGTGGCTGATATGGTGCATTTACGTACAAGAAAATACCACAAACCAAGATGTACACCATGAGAATCAAATTTTAAAACGGTATTTAGATTTGAGGAGGAGAATGTTGTGTGGTTGACAGACCTTCTTGACACGTATCCTGAAACACGTGAAGAAGCCGTATCACCTGTGCAGAAAATGAAAATATTTCTGGGTTATTGTGCGAACCATTTTAAATTTGCTAACTTTCAACACTGGACAAGTAAATTAGGAATGTATTAAACAAATAAAATAAACGGTTGTGACGGAACACATACACGTTGATTGCACAATGCAAATTTTAATTAGTTTGTCGAAATCGATAGGGGCTAATCTGTACCTTTTACTTTATTAATCCGAAGCATTTCCTTTTAAGAAAAAGGTATAGATTATGAATATGAATGGTAGCAAAAGCTTTTACTTTTACCTTTTACTTGAAAGTAAATGCGAGCTAATGTTTCGCCAGAAATTATACTTAAAACCATTTTATTAAAGAAATGAAGTTAAAATTATCTTCACATAAGTTTCAAAGCGGAAAATGTTAACGAGTTTGATTGTTTTGTGAGTTTGTTTAAAAAAAAAATATTTTAGAACGAATGGTGCAGTTTTTGTTTTGTTGAAACAATAGGCATTCAGTCAATAGGAATTTTGTTTTTTGCTTAGGACCTGTGAGGTTGAAGTAAAGATTCAGTTTTAATTGTAAGCTAGACAAGACGTCAGTAACCTATGACTTGCGGGCCATCGAATGAACTATCTATTAATTTCAAATGGCCTATCTCAGTTCTAAAAATAAAGTGCAATAAGTACTTATATAAAAATAAATTATAAAACAGAAAAAATAAACGAATTGAAAATATTTTTTTCAAATCGCTCCTAATTACAACACCAAAAGAGCATTGGCTTTTGTCGCTTTTAGATGGCTTGCGTTTTTTCGGATTTTGCTTTGATTACTTACATCTTAATCATTTGACATCAATTTCGTCATTACTCAATGAAGATGTTTGTCGTCTCTATTGTATAAAATTTACTTATTATTATTCACCGAAAAAGACTGTTTCAGAATGAAAATTAAAAAAAAACAAATTCGTTGCAGATAAACCAAGAAAGCTCAAAACGCCTAATATTTTAAAAATAATAAATTTTAATTCAAGAACGAGAAATGCTTTATTAAAGCTGTTGTCAATAAGAAAAAAATTCATTGGTCATCTTTAAATACAAATTTTATTCCTTATTTGTATCACAAGATTTTAAGGATTT